TTTTTTGAGAGAGAGTCTTGCTTTGTCACCAGGCGCCAGGCTAGAGTGCAGTGGCGCGATCTCGGCTTACTGCAACCTCCACCTCCCGGGCTCAAGCAATTCTCCTGCCTCAGCCTCCCGAGTAGCTGGGACTACAGGTGTGTGCCACCACGCCCAGCTAATTTTTGTATTTTTTTAGTAGAGAGGGCGTTTCACCATGTTGGCCAGGATGGTTTAGATTTCTTGGCCTTGTGATCCGCCCACCTCAGCCTCCCAAAGTGCTGGGATTACAGGCGTAAGCCATGGCTCCCGGGCCTAAGTTTTTTCTTAATAAATTATTTAAAGACTCTTCTACTTTTGGTTTCAAATATCTTTTTAAAAAATAAATGTGGATAACAAAAGACAGTAGTTATCTTTTTTATAAAGTTCTGATAGTCTAAAATGAAAAAGTTAGATTCCTATCAATCCCCAGTAAAATTTTTTTGTCTGGTCTTTAAAATCCAAGAAGTCTGAGAATCAATGACTTAGATAATTATTTAAAGATACAAGTTTGTATGAATCTGAAAAATCTTCCTGTTTGTTATAATTTAATTTTAATATCAAAGTTATATTACCCAAATGTAATACCATTTTTTTTAATGGTCATTGCTTTCCCCTATAAGCTCAAGTATCTTAATAAATCTTATTCAATCTACCTTGCCTTCAGATTGAAATGGACCTCTATTGAATGTAGAAAATGGAAAGAATTCAATTACTAGATAGAAAGCGTCTTTCAATAAAAAGCAGAAGCCATATATTTTTTTAATCAGCCTAATATAATTTTATTAACTAAATATAATAACTGACTGAAGGCATTCAGTAAATAATGACCAAACATTATTAAAAAGGTAATGGCAACTACTGTGTATAGCATAGTATATAACATATGCAAAGAGATTCCCTTTTCTATATAAGACTTCATATTGAAAAACAGCATCAACTCAAACTTCTTATGGATGCACAAACATTCAGAAAGCAATTACACAAAATTACCAGTGCCCTTTTTAGGGATCAGAATTTGTACTCTCATATTGTAAGAATTTTACTAACACTGATTAATAATGAAGATAAAATTAGCTTTAGAGGATTTAGGTGATAGCTTTAGAGGATTTAGGTGATAACAGAATTCATACAAAGACTCAAATGTAAAAGTCCATAAACCACAACTAATTTTGCTTTCTCATTCCTCCTTCTCCCACTTAAGTTTACAGTTTGACTTAAAGCATTTGGAACTATGCTCTACTGCTCCAAGTATTACTTAAATCTGTATCTTTTGCCCTCCACTTCCTTCTAAGCTCCAATCCATTTCCTGCTTCCTACTTGGATAATTCTATTTGATATACTACAGATAATTCAAACCCTATAAATCTAATACAAATTAAAGACCATACTGCTCTTGCTCCTATAGTGTATATATCAATTAATTAATGAAATCACCATCAATCCATAACACAGACCTTGGAGTTACTCTGAATCATTCTATCATTACCCATATCCAATAGATAATCCATTCTGTTAAATCTTTAATCTTTCTTTTAATTACTTTCTAATCCCTTACTTCTCTAAACACACACTGTTTTTAAGTCAAGCTTACTTCATTTGTTCCAAAAATGTTTTTTTCTAAATATCTCTTGCCTCCCTGACTCCACTGTATTAATTAGAAAGTCTTTTTGCTTATCTAATAATATCAATCCCTGCTTTGATGTTTTCTGGGGTTTTGCAGGACTGGAAATTGAGACTAAAATATTGAATAGCACATAAAGCTGCTATCAGTGTGGTTCCTTTATCATTACAACTTCATCTCCCAACACTGGTCTTTGCCCCTTCATCCATCTTCGCCACGTATCATTAAGAAGCCAAATACAGGGCTGAGCGCAGTGGCTCACACACGTAATCCCAGCATTTTGGAAGGCTAAGGCGAGTGGATCGCCTAAGGTCAGGAGTTCGAGACCAGCCTGGCCAACATAGTGAAACTCCGTCTCTACTAAAAATGCAAAAAATTAGCCGGGTGTGGTGGCAGGCACCTGTAATCCTAGCTACTCGGGAGGCTGAGGCAGGAGAATCGCTTGAACCAGGAGGCGGAGATTGCAGTGAGCCAAGATTATGCCATTGCACTCCAGCCTGAGCAACAAGAGCAAAACTGTCTCAAAAAAAAAAAGAAGCCAAATACATAATGTTTCCTAATCTATGACTTGTTTTTTACATTTCCATGCTTTATACACATTCCACTCTTGCACACTAGAATGTCTTTACCCACCTTTTTAACTCCCAAAATCCTTTGAAACACCTTTAATAACCAAACACCTTCCTAAAACCTGAATGACTTTTCCACTCATCTGTTTCCCCTAGGACTTTGTAAATACGTCAGAATGATGCAGAATATTCATTGGTCTCTCTCTGTAACATAGGATGAGTTCCTCAACGTCAAAGTTAATGACACATCCTATGTTTCTGACGCATCTAGTAGGTATTTAGAACACTACTAGATGGCAATTAGAAATAGACAATTCCCGCCCTCATACACTCTGCCTAATGGGAAGGGGCAGAGTACTGACATAATATATTGGTAGAGAAAACTTCCTTGTACTCGAGCTGAAATCTCAAGAATCAAGGAGCTGTGACAAAAAGAGAAGGATATACAAGTATGAAGAGCATGAGAAACCAAAAAGCCAGCAGAGCTGACACATAGAAAGCCATATGGAAAGAACAAGATGAGGAAGGAGACAAAGAAGTGATGCTATCATACTGAATCTTATAAACAAAGTTAGCAATGTTGGTCTTTGTCCTCAGAACAGGAAGTTGTAAAAAGTTTTATGTAGAGAAAATAAAATATAACAAAATATTAACAGTGGTTGGTTTTTTTTTGTTTTGTTTTGTTTGTTTGTTTTTTGAAACAGGGTCTCACTCTGTCTCAGGCTCCAGGCTGGAGTGCAGTGGCACAATGTCAGCTCACCACAGCCTCAAACTCCCAGGTTTGAGTGGATCCTCCCATCTCAGCTCCCAAGTAGCTGGGACCACAGGCGCAAACCACCATACCTGGCTAATTTTTGTATTTTTTGTAGAGACAGGTTTTTGCCATGTTGCTCAGGCTCTTCTTGAATTCCTGGGCTCAACAGACCCACCTGTCTCACCCTCCCAAAGTGCTAGGATTATAGGTATGCCCC